GTGATGATGTCATTTCAGACACAGGGAAACAGCCATTGGATCTACGGCTGATTGTCCTGATTTCTGGGTCTGTCTTCCTGTTTGGCTGGTTTGTTATACAGATGTCTGCATACTGTAAGTATAACAGAGATATGATGCATAACTTTCCATAAAGGCTGAATATGTGTACTGGGACTTTTGCAGTATGTTGACAACTTTTCAGTCATTGTTTACATCTCCCCATGAAAACTAAGTAATCAATCAGTATTTTCTGAGTAACTGTCCTTAAAAATATGGCACTACAAAACAATACAAAATGCTTAAAGTGACATTTTATCTGAACTATATATCCAACATTTAACCTAGATGAATATTTCATTTATATCCACATAGTGTTATTTGTTCACCACATTGTGTGGCTCAGTACGTGACATTTTATTACACTGCTGCTCTAATTCTTTTGAGCTTTTGTGGTCTGCCTTTATGATGCTGTTTCAGTGGCGCAGGACTGTAAAGGCCTCCTGGCCAGTAGGGGGCACTCAGGCAGTAATGGGGAGTCTGACTGTTAAAAAAGAAGGGAGATGATATAAACATCCTCAGTGATGCAGCACATATGTCTGTGTAATGCAGAAACCTTTCATTGTCAGTAATCATTTAATAAGTATAAATATGCAAGTGATCATTTTTAGATATTGTTACATTCTCAACCACATCGATGTCTTACTATGTTGAGCTCCAAAACAGTTAATTGTATCACTGTCTGTCTTTTATTTTTTACAGATTTGGCAAGAAAAGAAATGTGAGTAGACTTTCTAATGAAGAATATAACACATTCTGCTTATTTTTAAGAATTAAATCCATCCATCACAGTGAGCCTGGCACCTGCCACCGGAAGCACAGGGCACAAGGCAGGGGACACCCTGAGCAGGATGCCAGTCCATCACAGAGCAAACACACATTCACATACGATGGGACATTTAGAGATGCCAGTTGGTCCAACCTCATGATTTGGGACTGAGAGGAAACTGGAGTATCTGGGAAACATGGGGAGAGAAAGTAAACTACACAGAGTCCAAGCCGGGAGGTGTGAGGTGCCAGTGTTACCCACTGAGTCACCACGTAAACTACACCTACCTCGGGGAAAATAGACCTGGAAGACTCAGAGGAGGACTTGCCCATCTCTGGGGCTGAGGTCACTGAAGTGGTCAAACAACTACTCAGTGGTAGGGCTCCAGGGGTGGATGAGATTCACCTTGAGTTCTTGAAAGCTCTTGATGCTGTTAGGCTGTCTTGGCTGACATGCTTCTTCAACATTGCATGGACGTCGGGGACAGTGCCTTTGCATTAGCGTACTGGGGTTGTGGTCCCAGTCTTTAACAAAGGGGACTGGAGGATGTGTTCCAACTTTAGGGGATCATACTTCTCAGCCTCCCTGGGACGGTCTGTGCCGAGGTACTGGAGAGGAAGGTCCGTCCGTTGGTCGAATCTCGGATCCAGGAGGAACAATGCAGATTCTGTCCTGGTTGTGGAACACTGGACCATCTCTTGACCCTCACAAGGATACTCTAGAGTTTGCCCGGCCAGTCTACGTGTGTTTCTTGGACTTGGAAAAGGCATATGACCATGTTCCTCATGGTGTCCAGAAGTATGGGATACGGGGTCCATTGTTATGGGCCATCAGATTCCTGTACAAACAGAATGAGAGTTTGGTTCACATTGCCAGCAGTAAGTCAAATTCATTCCTGGTGGGTGTTGGACTCTGCCAGGGCTGCCCGTTGTCACCGATTCTCTTCATAACTTTCATGCACAGAATTTCTAGGCATAGCCAAGGGGAGGAGGGGGTCTGGTGTGGGGCCCTCCAGAACGCGTATTTAGTTTTTGCAAATGATGTGTTCCTGTTGGCATCTTTGGGCTGTGACCAGAAGCATGCACTGGGGCGTTTGGCAGCTGAGTGTGAGACACCTGGGATGAGGGTCAGCACCTCCAAGTCTGAGGCTATGGTTCTTGACCGGAAAAGGGTGGATTGCCCTCTCCTGGTGGGGGATGAGTTACTGCCTCAAGCGGAGGACTTTGAGTATCTCAGAGTGTTGTTCACAAGTGAGGGAAAAAGGGAGCAGGAGATCAACAGATGGATCGGTGCAGTGACAGCAGTAATGCAGACACTGTACCATTCTGTTTTGATGAAGAGGGAGCTGAGCGAGAAGGCAAAGCTCTACGTACCTACCCTCACCTTTGGTCATGAGCTCTGGGTAGTCACTGAAAGAATGTGATCACAGATACAAGTGGCCCAAATGAGTGTCTCTGTAGGGTGGCTGGGATCAGCCTTAAAGATAGGGTGAGGAGCTCAGACGTTTGGGAGCGGATCAAAGTAGAGCCGCTGCTCCTCCTCATCAAAAGGAGCCAATTGAGGTGGTTCAGGCATCTGTCAAGGATGCCTCCTCCGTGGCTTTCTATGGAGGTGTTTTGGGAATGTCCAACATGGCGGAGGCCCTGGGTCGGACTCACGACATGCTGGGCAAATTATATCTCTTGGCTGGCTTGGGAACGCCTTGATATTCCCCCAGTGGGAGGTCTGGGCATCCCCTGCGACCCAATCCCGGATAAGCTCTGGAAAATGGATGGATGGATATTGTCCCGTCAAGTAAAGTATTACCATTTTATTATAATGTTGCGAGAAATACCACTATTTCTGGATCAACAGATTTATATTTGTTTAATATAATGGAATCTGCTAAATACTTATGTGTCAGGAATCGCGGGGCGGGCGAGCCAGAAAGCAGGCGAGCGGAGCCGTTAAGTCGGGCAAACAGGGTTTATTTGCACGAGAGACAGACAGGTACCTACATCCACTGACACTACAATGACGGATCTGGGTAGACTGACTGAGACAAGGACTAAATACAAAAGACAAGCTACGGGTAACGAGCCACAGGTGAGAACAATCAGGGAATCACACGAGGTAACGAGGTGGGCGTGGCACTCATCGGGATCGAACGGAGCGGATCGTGACATTATGGCTTAAACCTGTTTTGTGGTTTTTCATAGGCTCTATACTGTCCTCTCCTGAACTGACCATTCCATATCAATTCACCCAGCCATTTTTTTGTTAATTTATAATAATTCATTATGATATGGTTTCAGTATTGATGGCTTGACAGCTTTTAGTTAAACCTTTGTCACTGAGTTAAGTGTGCCCAATTAGTTGGCATTAAGTTTGGAAAAGCTGAGTAGAATGAAACTGGAGGATCTCCCAACAAACCACACACACAGGTTGAACATGCAAACTCCTCATGTGCAAAGCTGCGGTGTGCAGTGACAGCACTACCCGCTGTGCCCTCCCAGGCATGCACAACGTGTTAATATCGACATGGTGTTTCATGCACATGCAGTTGTCACATAACAAGGACCATGATAGTCTGTGGAACTCAAATCATGTTGCACTAAAACAATTTTACTCAGTCATAGGAAACAAAACTTAGAAAGCTTTGCGATAATAAATCGCAAATAAATAAATATGTTCTTTTCAACAGTATCTACTATACTGTATGTTAAAAAGAAAATCATTTCAAAGTTTACCACCGTTGCTTTTGCATGACCTCTCCATGTGCTCTCTGAGACAATCAATCATTCTGGTCCTGGCTGTTGGACTCATTTATACCAAAGGAACCATAGACTGTGTGGGGGCGTTTGTGAGGAATTAAACACAAAAGACTGAGGAGGTGAAAAACAAAGAAGAACTGGTCACAAAAACACATTCATCTTTCCTGGCATGGAAATATTTTGTATTCCATAGAGATGTTGAGAAAAAGGAAGTGATTTATTGATACTGCTCTGGCAGCACAACCAACTTATTTGACAGACTCTGTTGGTAGATAAGTTCTGTTTGGTTATATAGTTAATATTCAACTCTTAAATACGGTATTGCAAAAATGTCAATACAATTTGCTTCTGGTGACATGTTCATACAATATTGCAGTGTGGAGCTGAATGTCTTCTTTTAAGATGTATTCTCATTGCAGTGCTGTGGTGATATTTAAGTTCTGCTTTACAATACTGACAGACAGCTGCTCCTTTCATTCCCCTTTAATGTGAAGAGCTTCCACACACCTGATGCTTTCACCCCCTTATTTGTTCCCCCATCTGCTGTGTGCCGCCTTCCTTCCGCCATATTGCTGAGTAACAGGGAAGGAACATTTTGAATCAGAGCTTTTTAATAATCGAGTAATCGAGTTTAATCTAGTAAAGGTGACAGCTCTATACTGTGTTGTCTTTTCTTTAGATTCAAAAAAGTGTTCGCCCAACTTCAGAGACTCAAAGATCCTGAGCCAGACCAGGTAGGTGCCCAAGATGCAACAGCCTCTCTGCTTGCTGTCCTGGGGCCTGTTTCTCTACATCAGTCTGGCCATATTCCCTTAGATTATTATACATAATTGTGTCTGTAGCAGATCTGTGTCCCTTGTGCTCTTCCTCCTTCCCTGTAAGTGTGGAGTCTGTTGAGGTAGAGGAAGAGCCCTTATTATGACTCCAGCACACAGGAACATGTCAGTACATTCTCCATGGTCACGGGCCCCTGCTGTTAAACATGGTAGGGAAGGCGCTCATATGACACTGTAACAAAGACAGAGGCTGATTTAACAAAAGAAATGTTTATTGGCGAAGAACAGCTTGTATAATCTGCACATACTCTCTGGTACGCACATCATCCACAGCCCTGAACCAAAAGCCAAAACTGAACAGCCCTTCTTCACGTCCGAGTCAGTCACTTCTCCCCCACTTCACCCCCTCCAAGTCACGGCAATGCACAGCCTAATACACATGCCTTCCCCTGCATTCCTTGCAGGACAATGTTACATTACCCTCCACCCATAGTTCCTTATTTCCAAGGAATGGACAACAACTGCGAAGCCAAAAGAACTGTACCTTAATGATGTTGTTCACAACACACCGTAAAGTGCTTTGGGACAACTCTGTTATGATTGGTGTTATACTTACTGCTTAATACATCTCATAATGCTCCACCTTCAATCACCTATCAGTGATTGGAGCTTTTGGCCAGGAGATGTCGTCAGGTGGTACCCAGATTTTACTGGGTGTTTCGACCCTTGACCACACTGCTCTCCAGTCAGCGGGTCGGCAGTTGTGGCCAGTCACTTCCCATCTTCTCTTGGCTTGCAGCTCAACTCCGCCCTCCTACTCCAGAGCCAGCAAGAGGCTCGTTCTGCTGCTCCCCCAGCCTGTATCTTCCTCTCTCCTCCTGTGATTCCCAGGGCTGTGAGCATCTTCCATACTGCCTGCGTGGGGAAACCCCTGCAGCCCACCTCCACGGGGAACAACCAGGCCTTCCACCCTTTATCTCTGCATTGATGGATCAGATCCTGGTACTTTACAGATTTCGTAACACTTTACATTAATTGCACCTTCATTATGCATTAATAGAACATTCAGCGCACCTTCATAATGCATTCATAGAACATTCATAAGCAGCATGCAAGTACACCTTAACATCCTAATATCCCTTAACAGCTTATATACATTAATAACAAACATTACATGATTATACAATTATAATGTTTATTATTATTATTATATAATGTTTCTTATTAATGTGTATTACAGCTGTTAAGGGATGTTAGGATGTTAAAGTATACATACATGATGTTTATGAATGATTTATGAATACTTAATGAATACATTATGACGGTGCACTGAACGTTTTATGAATGTAATATAAAAGCATTAATGTACTTAATGTAAAGCATTACCACAGCTTTCCTCTTTGAGGCCTCTTTGCATCCCTTTTCCCATGGGACCGTCAGTTCGATCAGGAAGATCTTCTTTGCTTCCTCTGACCAAATGACAATGTCAAGCCTCAGGGATGTTTGGGTGACCTGGGGGAACACAAGTTTCCTCCTTTGGTCTGCCCTCATGTCCCATGATTGCTCCTCCTGCAGGAGGCCTTTCACTTTCTTCTCTGAGGAAGATGGTTTTTCCCCTTCCCTGATGAACTGGATGGATGTCGCTGGTGTCCTGTAGGTCTGTCGTTTTTTCCGTCTCTCCTGGTCCAGGATGTCGGCCAGTGCTGTGAGGACCTTGTCATGACGCCACCTGTATCTTCCCTGGCTAAGCGCAGTCTTGCATCCTGCCAGGATGTGTGCCATCGTTCCTCTCTCTCCGCACACCCTGCACAGTGGTGCAATTAGCCCCCACCTGTGCAGGTTTGATGGAGTTGGGAGAATGTCATACACTGACTAGAGCAGGAAAGTGATGCAAAAAGGCTCCAGTCTCCATAGCTCTGTCCACTTACCTTCCACTTTGGCAGGTCCTGAATGAAGTGGCACTTTGCCAGCCACACCACGGTGGCCCCTGTGTCCACTAAACAAAGTAGGGGACTCCCTCCACTGTGACTCAGACATGGCAAAAGTTCCAAGAACACATATGATCCACCACCACCCAGGGGTGTTGTTATTGGCTTCTGGGGGGAGCAGGATCAGACTTCCCTTATCTGTGCTGCAGAACCCCTCCTGCAGCACATGGAGACAGAGCTACTGTGTGTGCAGCCCCCTCTTTGCAGACCCTACACTGTTTCCCCAATCTTGGTCCTGCATGGGGCGTTCCCTGATGAGTAGGCCAGGCTGGCTACACCTGCAGCATTCTGTGTGGCCCAGCTCAGCTGAATTTTCCTACATGGGACTCTTTCCTCCAATCCCATCCAGCAAAGAAATATAGCCAAGTTGTAAATAAAACTGAAACAGACCTAATATGAACTTCTTTAAGGGGTGGCTTAAATATGTCTGCTAATCCAGCTTCATAATAGCTTTACATTCACTGGTGTAACAGACTTGAATTTAATCTAAATTTAATTGAAATTAAATTGAGATTACCAACAGTTTAGAATTAGCCAGGATTAATTGTAAACTAAACTTAAACTAGGTTTAAAGTTTGGTACAACAGGAATTGTAAATAAATCTTAATCTAATGCAATTTAAAAGTTATGCCATGTTGATGCAGCCCAGCCTTAGTGTCTCCCTAAAGAAAGGCATTGCCACCCCATCAGATGGGCCTCGGAGGGAACAGTGCCCCCTTCTGGCAGCCCTATGGACAGGTCAAAGGACAGCAGCTTGGGTGTACAGGGTCACTGGTGTGGGAGGGGTTGGCACCCAGCTCCAGACCAAGTCCCCCCTCCCTAACAGCCTGTCCCCCTCCAGCTGACCTCCAGGGTGGCAAACCTGGTGAGAGCTGCCCCCCAAACCAGCAGGGGCCCCAGACCACGTTCAGATGGGGACTCGAGGGAAAGGGCTTTGAGTGGCGCTTCAGATATCAAGCTTTTCCAGCCGCACAGAAACCGGTCTGATTATGATGGAGAAACACAGCTGAGGTTTACAGGCCCAAGCCCAGAATGTACAGCATAGAGAGCATGAAGGCTGTTTTGGTGACTGTAACAAACATACAGTGACCCCTGCTGATGAGATTGCTGTTCTGCCCCCCCCATCGGGCTCCTCGACTGACCCGGAGAAGCCCGAGCTTATCCAGGAGCGGCTGGATCTCTTGCAACATGCCAAATGGTGCCACCATTACAAGCAGCACTACAGGGAGGAGTGGTCGTGCTCCAGGTCCCACTGCGACACCATGAGGAAGGTCCTGAAGCACATGACCCACTGCAAGGCCGGCACGTCCTGCCAGGGTGAGTACAGGACCGCACTTCCGTTTCCGCTCTTCTGGATGGATTCAGGATGGAGGAGGATTAATTTACCTTTGGTCACGCGTTCGCCTTCACTCCAGTGCCAGGTCTGTTTCTCTCACCTAACAGTCTGAACCCCTCTTTGTGCCCCTGCAGTGAAGCACT